GTTCTGCATCTTCGAGCTGATGAAAGTTGTTTATCTCCAGCTGAGATGTTGGGCTTGATTTATATTAGGCTACTTTTTCTATTTCTACTGAGTTATCTACAAGACAAACCACGCAGGGAAGGAATGAAAAGTTTTTTTTCCCCCTTTTTTTATATGTGTTTGTTTGACAGTCTGTCTCACTGACTCTTTACACGGATCCTGGAGAAGAGATTTAATTAGGATGGTACTGTAGCTGAAATTTTTCTCCATGTCCCAACAAAGGTCATTACAAGATGTAACTCAGAACTTCAGGCATACAGGGTTAGGTAAGGTCTTGCAGCATTTCCTAAGGGCCTGGGGTTATCTTTGCACAGACTTTTACTGGTGGACTACAGCACTAATATGTTAAATGTGCCTGCGGCAGTTCATAGAATCATACAGTCATCTGAGTTGGAAAAGATGTTTCAAGGTCACCTAGTCCAACTTCCCCTCCAATGAACAGGGACACCTACAGCTAGGTCAGGTTGCTCAGAGCCCCATCGAGCCTAGCCTTGAGTGTCACCAAAGGGAGGGCATCCACTACCTCTGGGCAACCCATTCCAGTGCTTCACTACTCATAATGTAAAAAACTTTTTTCCTAATATCCAGTCTAAATCTTCCCTTTCAGTCTGAAACTATTTCTCCTTGTCCAGTTCTCTGGGCCTGGGACAAATGGTCTACATAAACACACTTTGAAGCTTTCCTGCCTTGCCACATAGGATGCTCCCACTGAACCTGTCTGTTGAGTATTCCTTGGCCCATATGAAATGCCAGACCTCACTTGGGAATTCTTTGGAGAATGCTAATGGAACCAGAACAACTGGGGCAGTCATCAGGGGAGATGTCAGAGTGCCCAGGCCTCTGTTCTAATATTGCTGTTACTAATATCAACATAACCTGATCCTTCTGAAATGATGGAGATTTCATAATCTCCTGGGGTGACTATACTGCCTTCTCACTACTCTCATCACTAAGAAGCCCTAAGTATTGCAAAGCTGGAAAGAACAATTTGAAACAATTTTTACGATTACAGAATATTTTCAGTTCCTTTCACAGTCTTTTCATTTTCTATACTGAACAACCCTAATCCTTTCTGATCTCTCTATATTTTTTTCTCTATAGGTCTCCTTTTCCAAACCACTTATTGCTCAGATTTCCTTGTATTCTTTTCTGGCTTAGAATCCTGGACATGGTTCCCCAAGTAACACTTTGCTAGCATTCTGTATAACAGAAGAAACACCTCCATCTTATTACATGCTCCATTTCTGTTCCCAAAATTAAAGTTGCCTTCTTTCTGCTAGATTGCTGTATCCATACCAGTTTTGTAACCCCTATAAACAATCTCACTGGCACACAGCTGTCTAGCTTACTGTTATGCCCATTGATTTGTTCTGTAATAGCTTGCCAGGAATAATGCCTTCACAGTGTATTTGAGGCAAAGATGGGATGAATTTATCCTGTTGATTTTAGGCAACTACATTGCCAAATTATTTCAAAGTCTAGTCTGATCTTTCACAAATTTTGCCACCCCTATAGCTGGTCATTAACTGTGTTTCAGCTCTACAATTTGAAGTTATTAATGATTCCTAGGATATTAATGAAAATATTGAGTAGAATGAACAGAGGAGAGACTCATAAGGAATCAATCACACTCAAAATGTCTTACCACTTTGTCTCTCTGAGTGTATTTTAATGATCAGTATAGAACTGCTTTATGGTATTTTAATCTAGACTTGATTTCCTTAGGTAGCAGTGGGAAAGATGTGCCTGACTGAACTGAAATCCTTCCCCTAGTCCAGGCATATTGTTTAGGTAAAGTATATTCTTCCATTTTCACTGGGCATGTATCCCATCTAGGATGGAAAAGCCCTTTCCTGCACAAGCTTCTTTGTGTAGGAAAGATGCGATATGGGTGCGTGGCTACTGGTTCCAAATGCTCTAGTTGGTGAAAACCTGAAGCAGTGTTTACTTGGGGGATTTCAGTGAACTCACTTTGTGTTAATCTGCCACAGGGTACAGTTTCTCTTTGTCTGTTGTGTTGGCTGTATGTAGCAATGTTGTGGATGGAACTATGATCCCCTGAAGATCAAACTTTTCTAAATTACAAACTTTACTTGCCCAAATAGGTAACATTTGTAAGCAGAGATAATATCTTATATGAAATAGGCTGATATAGCTCCATTTAAAAATAAATGATAACTATAACAGTAAAAATAAAAGAAGAAAAGAAATTGTTTTCATGCTATTATGGTAATGAGTGCATTAGAAATGCATACAAAGAGCATCTCAGTGACTTCGTCAATTGCTTATATAAACTACTGGCTCTTAGTTTTCTTTTATGTCTTTTCTATTTTCCACACTACACTTTTCAAGTGCTATAACCCCCACTAGCTGAAAGCTATGGAACCTTGGACCATTCCCATTGCATCAGGGAAACTGTGAATACTACATTCACCCTCCTATGCAGGAAAAGATAAGGTGCTTGTGACCACTGGATGATCATTCTAGGTAGAAACCTGTTGTATCTCACAGTGAGATACGCTTTCAGTTTTGCCATTTGCCCTCCAGCTGTCTTTCTTCATTTGGGAAGTCTACAGGGAAACTTGAGGTCAGTGTCCAAGGAAGAAGTTGACATGTAGCCTGCCGTTAGCTGGTTAGCGTGTCATTTAAGATGGTTAGGATGAGATGTCTTACTGCTGGACTAGATACATAGTTCAGACTGGGAAATGGAGCCAACCAAAATGATGAGACGATGTAGGAGATGAGCAGACAACAAAACTAGCTCACCTCATAGCAACATTGATGCTGCAGATCTTAACATTTTCCATTTGCTTGCTGCTTGTGGGATCTGCTTAGTGTGCTAATTTTTAAATACATGCACCCTCCTGGGGGTCTGTTAACTGCACAAATGAGAGTGTTTTATACTCAGCTGCTCTCCAATGTAAATCTCCTTGATTAAAATATCCATCAATTTGGCCAAGATGTAGGGACCTGATTCTCAGAAACCGTGGTGTGCTGAGTATGTGCTGACATCCTTTGGACAAAGCTTTAATCCATTTTGCTTGGAGAAGATTAAGTGATAGCAAGTGCCTATTTCTATTCTGGCAGTTTGCAGAGCTCAGTATGCTATTTTTACTCACGAGATGTGATACAAACTTAGCAAAACTACTAATAACAGCAGTTCGCAAAACTCATTTCCATGCTGAGATGTAGAAGGTGCTATATTATTTCTTTTGTTAATTAAACCAGAAAATATAGATTTAAAGGTTGCTGCAGGGGAGGCTTAAACCAACAAAAGCCAAATTGGAAGCAAAACTCGCATTTTAACTCATCTGTTGTACAAGTTTTGCACTTAGAGCATTTGAGATGCAATTATGAGATGTTATAGTGTAACTTTATCACCTTTTATTGCTCAGCCACTACGCCATGACAAAAATTACATTTTACAATCTATTTATAATTAAACTTTTTTTTTTTTTTTTTTTTTTTTAATAAGGGAAGTGCTGACTCTCTTGAAGTATTCGGCTTGTTTAGCTTTTTATATGGCTGCAAGTGAGAACATTAAACACTTCCAATTTGGCGCTGTGTGCAAATGACAGTCCTCTGAAATACACAATCTTCCTTTCCCATGTATGCAAGGTTTCCTTGTCAAAATTACACCCTTCCATGCACACTGCCTCCTTTGAAGATATATGTCAAGAATCTACATGTGCAGATGCTCACACCAGTGTTCTAGACATTATGACAGTTACCATCTGAATTTTCAGCCGACTGATTCTCTGAGCTTATAGGCAGGTTATGGAGGTCCTTGCTTATCAAATCTAACTTCTGAGGCCTTGTTCTTTATTGTGGGAAAAAGAAAACCACCAAAAGGACTGCAAAACTGGGTTTCTCTATAAGATGGGAAAGGAGATTATTAGTACTTAAATCCTACTGCGTGCATTCACATGGGTGTCCACGTACATTTATACTCTGTCCCGTGCATAGCAGTGCCACATTCAGCGTGAGGCTTCATATGGTCCTGCAATTGTGCTGGAGTAAACTGCACATTCCTAATCTTAGCCTAAAATGCTGAACCTTCTTCTGCCTATTGAATTTCCCTTCTCAAACATGCCTGTTTGGGGGTTTACTGCAGCAGAACTACCTCTCTCCTCACTCAAGCTGTGCACTTCCTGTAGGGCAAGAAGTGCATGAAGAAGGCTGTAAGCTGTGGTTTATGGTCTCTTCCAGTACAACAACTAGGAGCACCAGAAGATGAGAAATTGCAGGTTCAAACAAAATCAAAAGGGAGTACTGGTCACAATACATGTAGAAATGAATTCTGTACAAAAGTGATGCACCAAAAGTTTGCATAGGATGTACTGCAGGGCTGAATGGGGTCTAAAAACCCATCAGAAAAGTGTATGGCAGAAAAATCCAACAAGGACTTCTACTTGCAAACATACCACTTGAGAATATCTGGTACAGGAAAATTCACAAACCACTAATTATTGTGCCTAGGAAGGTATTCTGAAGAAAAACTGCTCCAGGTTTCTCTTTTTGTACTCTTCTCTTGGCATTCACTAATGTTTGCTAGGAAAAAATAGCACGCTGGGAGACACGGATGCACAAAAGATGCTGAGGCATGTCCACATACATAATTATTATTAATGGTATTAGCACCTGGTAAAGTATGCTGACTGTAAAGATAAAAATTCAGTTTGGGGACTTTTGTTTAAAAAATAAACAAACAACAAAAAACACAGAAGAATCAAAAAGAACAGGGAAAGCTTGCCACAGAGCCCAACCATTGAAAGCAGTGATGAGGCCCTAATTGGCTGTGCCTCATAGAGATGCCTCCAATACCACAGGTGTCAAGGATGAAGATGACAAGGATAGGAACCATGCCTTTTCACTGCAACCATGTGTTTTTCATCAGAACCTGACCAGAGCCTTCTTGTTCCTATTAGTGCTGACTGGACTGGGTTAATCAGCCACAAATTTTGCATGTTGGTTGTGAACCTTCTGTGCACATATATTGTTGTAGGAAGCAGTGCTCCAGTGCTGTTGACTCTAAGGCCTGAAGGTGTCTGGAGCATTGGACTATGATATGATGTGGAGCTGGAGGGAAGATGAGCAACTGGAAGAGAACTAGTAAGCAAGGCAATGTCTTGTTGAAGTGAGCTGGCATTTGTGTTGCTCAGACACCAAATGGTATCTGAAGGAATGGGAAGGGAAGTATTTTAACAGCTCTCTAGAGTATTAAATAAAAAAATTACACAGACAAGAAGAGAACACTGTGTAGGATTCAGTGAAGCTACAGTTCCGTTATAAATATACATATTTTAAAGAGTTAACAGTCTTAAGAATTAGTTTACCTGTTAATCTGGGGTCAGATTAAATACTCTTATTCTTGTATAGAAATGCAGGTACTTCCAGAGCAATTCAAAATAATTTGTAATCTTTTATTTACTTACTGAGCCAACTGGAAGCAAACAAGCAAGGTTTGCCAGCTTGACCCCATGCACACTATTTGATGCCCTATGTACTGTTTGGTCAAGTGTTTGTAGTTTTGTATTGAAAAGGCTGAGTTTCTGTTATGGGAGTGGTACCTGGTGTTTGAAAAAAAAAACCACCCCCAAACTTCATAATCCTGCTTGGCCTCAGGCCTGATGAATTTGAATCTTTTCCAAATGTCAGAAAAAGCAGACTTTCGCCTTTCTAGACCTTTTGTATTTTCACTCTCACTGGGGTTTTCTCTGCAGAAAGCTGTATCTATTATGTAAGTTTAGGTCAAAGAAAGAATTTTTATTGATGCTTTGCAATGTGCCTGCCTGTACTAACTATGTCTAATGTAACCATTTGTCTGGTACGAGTTAGAGGTAAAATAGAGCTAAGGCTTTGGGGCCAACTGGATCGATGGGATACAGAAACATACACCTACACTTGTGATATGTATAACTTTTATATTTTTAAATAGTGTTTTAATGCCTTGGTTTTATAGCCTTCTCTTAACTACCATGAAGAAAAGCAGGTAACTTTAGATAAATGTTTCTACTTAAGAAATGTAGCCTTTGGGATTCCTCGATAGTTATATCTAAGTCACGTGAAGAGTTGTGTCACAGATTAACGCATATATACACAGGCTGACAGTTTAAGAGTAAGCACACTAGACTAAAGAATCAAGATCTTGGTTTGAACAGAGTCCTGGGATATAACAATGAGTATATTTTAACAGGAAAAGTGGTATAATAAGTGGAGGATTTTTTTTTGCTGTTTTTTTTTTTCCCCCTAATGATTGTAAGCCAACACTCTCCCATAAATATGAGGTGCTATTGCGAGAACATAAATATCTGAGTATATGAGCTACAGGTGTAGTATAACACATAGATAAATTCTACTCCTGGTGCCTCTGCTTGTTTGGTCTTGTCTTGGCAGCTCCAGCAACAGCTGCAGAAGCTGTTTAAAAATGTTAGTATGCAAAGCCAATCTAAAGTATTAATTCTTTGCTCCAAAGCTGGATGCAGACACTGACAGGAACACATCAACTCTCTCAGTCTTTAGCCAAGGAATGAAATAGCTGGGAGCTGTGACAGAAATGAAAGGATGAAACTGTGTATCAGAGGGACCATACTACCTTGTGTTTGGAAATAAACAATCTAGCTACTTTTGGATTCAAACTTTGTTGTTCATTTGCCTTCTGTGGCATTTATATCTGTTACCATGTTCAGTACTGTAATATGCTTGAGTCTCCTGACAACCCTCTGGATGGCTATAACCAACTCAATAACTTGACCTAAGTAAAGAACATAGGTCAGGCACAGAGTTCTGAATAGGATTTAGGGGTTATGGTGAGCAGGTGATTCAACATGAAATTCTGAAGTTGTGCTGATGCAGGAAGGATTAAGGCACACTTTGGCTATGCAAGCAAAGAAATAGGAGACCTAGTAAGATGCAATTTTACTTCAGCACACAGTGTTGGTGAGTACAGCCATTAGGATAACAGACTGAGATTCCACAGAAGTAGTTTAGAAAAGATTTGTCTCATCTGGAAATAGAAATGTGAGCTGAGACGAGAGGAATTATCTTCTAGCAGGAGGTGATTGCAAAGGGATCCTTTCACAGGTTTGCAGTCTGGTGAGATGAGCTGCTCACACTTTGTTTGCAATGTGTTGAGAAGTTGGAGGCTGGTCAGAAGAGGGCCATGAAATGATTTAAGAGGAAGAGAGTTGTAGTTACAGGCTCAGTCTGCTTAGTTTATTAAAACTTGGGAGAGATATGATTACAGTGTACTTTGAGGAGGGGAAGTAAAGGCCCTAAAGGTTCTTTATCCTGACAGACACAGGCATAAGAAGACGGAATGGCTGCAAACTCAGGCTTGTTAAATTCAAATGAGAAATGAAGAACATTCATTACTAGTAATCAATGGGAAACAAATTGCCAGGGTTGGTAATGGATTCTTAATTTTTAGATAACTTCAGATTATAAATGGATGAAAGATATACTTTAGCAGAACCCAAGTTATTGGGCTTAATATAATCGATCACTCTTTATTTGCTGTTGTTAATAGGAATGTTGAATCTTTTTAGTCTCTGAGGTTCTGTAATGATGCACTATCTGCAGATTTTATTCTTCTTTCTTTCTTTCTTTCTTTCTTTTTTTTTTTTTTTTCTGGGAGTGAAATGTGTCTAGGAAACTACAGTATAATAAAGAGCACATATAAAATACATTTTCAAATGTGGCTCTATTTCCCCTCAAGAGGCTTGAATCTAATATTTGTTTCGTGCTGAGCATTTCCAGCAAAATTCATGCTAATAGATTCCATAGCTTTGGGTTCTTCCTCCACTGCCCTGATATACTCAAGAATATTGTATTAAAACAGCAAACACAGGAGTAATTCCCATTATGATTCTAGGCAAACAAACTGCCTTAGAACCAGCAGAGCTAGTGCAGAAGCCTTCATATGGATTTCCTTTCTTCAGTGTCTCATTCCTTCACTGCACCTACCCCTGCCATGACATCACCTCCAATCCTAGCCTTGCTTCCCCTGTTATCCCTATTTTACCTCTTCCTTTAGACAAAGAGTGGCGAAAAAATGACCAGAGAGACCTGTCTTCCCATGTTCACGATACACTTATGTCTTAATTGCAGCCCCTTCTCCATACATATGCTGACACTGCACACGTATGGTAGATTTGTTCCCAACGGGTTGTTTACAATAACAGACTCACTCCAAAGCTTTTCCCTCTGTGCAGGGCATTAATTTAGATCTTTCTCATCTGCCCTGTCTCAGTCTTTTGTGAAATTTGTAGGAAATTATTTGTCATTGATATCTTACCTTTCTGCCAGACCAGGCTGTAGGCAGCACATGATGGATGGATGGGCTGAGACAGCGAGATCGCATAGTCTGCATTCCCCTGGGAAACCAGACTGAAAACACATAAGGTACGTGTTACAGAACGCACTGGCTTAACTTTTCTGGCCTGTAAATGTGTTTAAAACATAAATCTTCCATGGGAAATATATGAGTCAGTGAGAAGCAGAACAGAGTGAACTCAAGATGAGTTCAAGATGATAAACTAAGTGTCAGTACCTCAGAAAGTAGCTCTCCTTCTTTCCACAGGCAAGTACTTCTTAAATACTGTTTTCATTTGAGTAATAGCATATCTCAAACACCATTAGATACTATAACATTTCATAGAAATATAAAAATGGATTACAGGAGCTTTGTTCTTACACCGTTAATAGTCTGAAAACATGTTTTCCTTCGAAAGGCTCAAAAATCTGAGCTAAGTACAGGGCCACATGAAATCTATTCTTTTTGTTAGGTTTTTTTTGGTTTTTTTTTTTGTGGTTTTTTTTTTTGTTTTTTTACCTGGGTCACCAGCTGGACTTACAAAGGTAATTGAACATGGAGCAAGTGACAAGATCAAGCTCTAACTCTATGGTGTGGTAACTTTTGTTCTAAAAAGCAGAGCTGGAGGCAGCAACAATCTGTGGTTTCCTTTGTATACTCATGTAAATCAATGGGACAGCAACACTGTTACAGCTTGGCTGGGTTACTAGTTGCTTTAACAATATGTGAAGTATTAAGTATGCAAAGAGCAGCGATGAAGTGTACAGTATGCTGCATGAGGAAAATTTTACATCATTAAAATGGTTTTGGCAGACCAACTTGTGCAGATTTCTCTGCAAAAGAATTGTTAGAGATATTAAAGTGCAGATAATGAACACCAATATAAAGTTCATTTTGAAAGAAATATCAATTAAGCCCCCTGTTCCTTGAGGCCCTCAGAGAATAATGAAGTAGAGCTTAGAAAATCCAGGTAACTGATATAAATGTATCTTGGGTTTGAATTGTTAAGAGATAGTTGCCACTATGTACAAAGGCTGCTCTGAATGTAATGCCTCCAGTTGTATCCTGTTGGCCCATGATGTCAGAGGTGAATGTTGATGGTATGACAGTGGAGTGTAGACTTGCAGGAGAAGTCTGACCACACGGCATCTGACATGGAAGAGTGGATGAAGCAAAGGTGTGTCATTGAATTCCTCTGCATGGAAAAAATGGCACCCACTGACATTCGTTGAATCTTGACGAATGCTTATGGGAACCAAATGGTGGGTGTGAGCACAGTGAGGTGGTGGGTGGTGCATTCAGCAGTGGGAACAGAAACAGTGGGTCACTTCTTCTGGTGCAGATTTTGAGGAGTGCAGCACACAGGCTCTTGTTCATTGCTGTTGAATGCATAGTTAATAGTGACTGTGAGTGTGCTGAGAAACAGTGGTTTTAGCTGAGAATTTACCGTCAAACAGTGTCATTGTCCTCTTTGTCATAGTTCCCATGAAAATAAGTAGGAGGCATTACTTTCGGAGTGGCCTACATATAAATAAACCAACTCTCCAGTTTCCTACATAAGAGGAAATTGCATAAAGAACTATGTGGAATTAATTTAATATGTGCATTTCATATTGATTTCCGTATTTTTATATGGCTGTATTTTTTTAAGGAGCTATTTTTGTGGAATTTAATTTTTTCCTCACTTCTATCTGATTTGTGACCAGCAATTTTATTTATTTATTTATTTATTTGAACTAGAATTGTTCTGTCTGCCTAGTGGACATATTTTTCCTCTGTCAAACTCACTTTAAATAGCTAACAGGACAAAAATAGTGCACGGTAGTGATAATGGCACTATTTCTACCAAAGCTGGCATACTAGATAATGTTTTCCTAACAAAACATCACTCTAAGGAGAAAAACATTTTTTTAATTATAAAAGTCCTTTCTGTATTGCACATCTTGAGGAACTACTCCCTTTTTAATGTTTATTTCTCATTACGTGATTAAAAATTAGTTGTTTTGATTGTACTTGCTTCTAATGGCTAAGTCTGGAGCCAAAATAAGGAATAAAGAACAAGTACAGAAAGATTTTACAAGGCTCTACCTCCTTGTGAATATACACTCTGTGCTGCTCTTATTTCTATGTAGGCTCAAGACAGAAATGTTGGAAAAAAATCACCTGCCCCTGAGAAGAATCCTCTGCAATGTCAGACCGTGTCCAAAGGGTGTGATCTGACATGCTTCCAGCTCTTCTGAGAAGAAAAACGAAGGTAGGAGTATACTGATACTGATAGAAGAATTAGTCCTAACTTAATGATTGATTTGTTCCTCTGGGATCAAGAAGACCTGTAACATGTTAATGTTACAGGAACTGGAACAGCCCTATCAGGAGCCTGTGAGTCAGAGTAGGACCTTGGGCCTGGGTCTCCAACATCCCATGAGCAGCTTTGAATGATTGATATGCTTTTTCCTGTCAGGCTGTTCATGAAAAAGCAAGAAGTTGACACCAGATCCACTGAAGTATTTAAGCTTTTAGCTCTCACTGAGAAGCTAAGTAGAAGTTATAGGCTCGATGTCTTGTGAAGCTGCCTCTTAGTTTAGAGGATGCCATTTGGAATATCTTTAATGAGCTGGAGAGACAAACTGAGGAGACTCTCTTTAAGCTCAGCAAGGTGAGATGTGAAGTCACAGCCGCTAATAACCCAGTGTCTCCATACAAGATTTGTCCAACTGGCTTGACAGGAAAAGTCTATGGACAACCAGTAGACCATAAGTGAGTAACACATGCTTGCAGCAAGAATGGCTATCAGCCTCCTGGGTTGCCCTAGGAGGAGCATTTCCAGTGGATTAAGGGAGGTGATTTTTCTTCTCTATTCAGCACAGTGAGATCTGGAGTACTGAGTCCAGGTCTGGGTTCCTCATTACAAGAGAGACACCAACATACAGGAGAGAGTCCAGTGAAGATCCATGAAGATGATGAAAGGCCTGGAGAATCTGACATATGAAGGGGTTGAGACAGTCGTGCAGCCTGGATAAAAGAAGACTCCAGCAATATGTGTAAATACCTGATAGAAAGTGTAAAAATGATGGAGTCAGGTCTGTTTACTAGGGCCCAGTGACAAGACAGAAAGCAAGAGATAAAAACTGAAATGGAGGAAATTTCATTTAGTTGCAGGAAAAAAAGCTTATTTTACCATGAGGATGTTCAAATACTGCTTAAGTCTGGCAATAGCCTGCATTCAGATGCTTTACTATTTCCAGCTGCCGACAATAAATGAATATAAGCATTTACAAAACCAAATTATTACCAAATAATTTCCAAAGGATAAGAAAGACTGCACATTTTGGTGTGTCCTGTTCTCTCAGTGGGGCACGTGTAACACCCTCTCATGGAATAGTGTTGTTTGTTTTCACTTCTGCAGACACAGCCCTGGGAATGTTTTCAGTCGTGCTCTTCCACCCAATCTGCACTATGACTGAATTTTCATTTAGTGGATTCCTAATAGATGTAACCCCTCCAGTACTTTGCAGGTAGAAGTACCTATGGCTGAAATGATGAGAAGCACACCACAAGCATGTCCAGATAGTGGGGAAAGCCAGCAGAACCTTCTGAAGTGTTCTGCACTTGTGCCAACAAAAATGTTGGGATTGCTTGTTGTATTATATAGTGAGATGTTCCCCAGAAGCCAAGGTGTTGTAAAATTCATTTTATTTAATCATGACCATCACATGGTGGGTTTCTTTTAAACATTCTGGTTTCTGCAGGCAAATTGTTTGGTAATTTCTATTTCTTGACTCTTGCCTTGCAGGCTAGAAATTCACTTTTGTGAAAAATAAAAAATAAAAATTTATAGACAAAATTTTCAAGCTTCTTCTTAACTCTGTCTCCAGGGCTTCTCAAACAAACAAAACCAGGCATCACAGAACTTGTGAAAGTTATCAGAGAAAGAACTCCATGTCTTCTTTAAGAGTGATCAATCAGAATTTTTCTTTTGTGGCAAGTTCCAACTAGCTTATATATTTATTCTGGTTTGCTTACCTTCCAAGTGGTAAAATGCAAGAACCTGTGAGATTTTTTTCTGCAGTTCCTTGCTATATCTGTTATATCAGTGCCCCCCTTCTTCTCAAGCACTTTTGTTTTTGATGAACTGTTTTTGTAAAAAAGAAAGTGCAAGCTAGAGCTCAATGAATAATGAAAAGAGTTGAATAGCATATATTTCATTTAAACTTTGGTGGAAAATTTTCCTTCTATGAATTATGAAAATAAAAATGAATAATGTAAGGGGGAAATGTCATTAAAGGTATTGAGTGACTTAGTTGAGAAATATATTCAATAATCCTTAGGGAAACCAAACAAAAAAAGCCAACACCACATTTATGTCAAGTTAGGTTTCTAACTTGACATTCTCAGCTTTCCTCATACTAATCAAATCTTTAGATGCTGAATTTGGGACTGTAGTTGCAAAATAGCCCAACAGACAAAGCAAAAAAACCAAAAAAAAAACAGGTTTGTAACAACTATTACGAGTGATAATCCTGGGAAAATAAGGCTCCTCGAAGTTGATCACTTCTTTCATTTGCATCTTGCATACTTGCATTATACTGAGTCTTTACACTTACCTCTGTCCCCTGTATACTTAAGGTATGATCTGGGAAATCCTAAATTTTGTTGCAGCCTTTAGAAAAATCTCCTAGTCACAAATCCTAAAAAATAATAAATCTTCTTATTTTATTACGATGTGCTCTTGACAGACTGAGGACAGACTTCCTGGAGATAGGCAGAGTAGGAACACTCATTTAAGTGTTCTTGAAAATTCTGTGTTTTGAAGTTCTGATATCTTCAGAAAGTCCTTGTATGTCAGTTTTTTATCTGTAAAATATGCTCAGCAGCCCTTCCTTTCTACGCTGCTTTTCTCTGTTAAAACTTGAGGACAAAGAATGTCTCTTTTCTGTTTATTTGTCTATCACTTAGTGCAATGAAGCCTCTGGGTGCTGTCATAGGACATTTTAACAAGGTGTTACTAGACTGAACTCCTAGAAAATGCAAGGAAAATTAGTGTTATTCATCACAACGCTGACAATATTACAAACCAAAATGACACAGTCTAGAATCTGAGGTTGGCCTTTGAATAAATACTTGAGATTTGATGATTGACTTCAAGAGATGATTTAGTACAGAAGATGCAACAGACAATGCAATAGAGATGTCTGCATGATGTATTTTGATATGAAACTAGTTAAGCCCCTGATATTTATTTCTCATTTTGCTGGCTGATGCATGAAGACACGATTTAGCACATGTATGGATGCTCATCTCTCCTAGCTTTCCTCTGATCTTCTGCAAAGAATCCTCATTAATACTGGGAAGAGATGCTGGCAGTGGGTTGAATGCTCTTAAGGGCACAGATTCAACAAAACATCTTGACCAAATACAGGTGCAATAAGCTCTTTCAGCAAGTAATTAGAACATTTTCAGAACAAGTATTTAGTGCCACTGCTGATCAATGAGTATTCCTGCTTCATTCACCCAACCTATTCTTGAGAAAGGGCTGTGGTTCTACATATGGGCAAAGCCTCATGATCATCCATGGTTCTAGCTCCCAAATTACTTCTCTTTTTGTTTACTCACGCACTTAGCTAGTTTTCAAACTCAACATTTTGACTGGGTGTCTAAAATCACCTTCCTGGCATCAGAGTGCTCTTCAGAGCATCAGGTAGCTGGATCTATGATTAGAGCAAGGAGATCCCAAGTTTGGTCAGTGAGAAGAAAGACTTTTGTCTGTTCCTTAGGACAGAGACATTACTCTCATTACATCTCATTACTTCAAATGCCTTATTTTCTATCTTCTTCTGTTTTCTTTCCAGTTTGTCTTTCTTGAAATGTAACAGGGTCTTGCTAGACCCTTGGAGGCCATAGAGAGGCAAAGGTCACTGCTGTTGGCTGAAATCTAATCCTCATTGCAAATCTCCTTTTCAACTCTACTTTTAAAGAGAGAGGCAGGTCCACAGGAGGAAAACCAGAGTCTTCATAGAGGGCAGTCTTATGTCATGAAGTAATTGGAATAGTACAAATTTCTTAGCAGTTTTTTGTTTTCTTTTAATTGATGCTTAAAGGAATTACAACACTGCTTTGCTGTACCCTATAGCCTGTGCTAGCGTGATGTAATGTATGTTGCTCCAGGTTGCTGTAGCTAATTTTCTCTAGTGTTTTGCTTTGGCACCAACAGCATCCCTCATTAGTTTCTTTATTAGTACATTTAAATACCTTCTTAGCACCATTAAGTTGGAAATGGCTTTATTCTTCGTTCAGCAGTATTTGTATTCAACATATTTTCTCAGCGTTCCCTACAAGATTCCTTACAACAGATGTTATGACGCACTTGGAGGAACGTGAACCAAATTGTAGGTAATGGTCCGTGCTTATTTGTTTTGTGTAAGCTGTGGTTTCTATAGCTACTGTACATCTGCTTCATGCCATTTGCTGATCATTTTCTCTAGCTGTCTCAGTCTAGATATTTAAAGCATGCTGTACTGATAATGCTCAGCACAGCAATCTGATAACAGCTTGACATGTGAACCAAGTTACAAATTTGGAAACATGTTTGAAAACAGCTGTTAAGTCTACACAGTAATTGTCTATCTGCTACTGGCAAAATTACCATCTCATCCCAAATCAAAATGTACAGAGGCTCTATCTCACCAAAGGGCTTGAAAATATGGCAAATGCTGGGTGCCATTAGGTGTGGTCTCAAGCTGGTGCCTCAACTGGCCACGCAGTGTGGGAAGTCAAAGGCAGAGCTAGTGAATCTCTTTGTAGTCTGGTCTTCTAACAAAACAAGAAAACATCAGTGGTTGAGAGATGCAACTCTGTTGAGGTCAGTGGAATTATCTGAGGCATGCATCAAAGATAATTGTGATTTCTTGTTTCTTTACTGAACTTTTTTCTTCTAATATAGAGTAATAGCATCTTGGCCTTTCAAAATTTCCTTTATTGAAGAAAATCCTTTTCTGTACTAAAAACTCTGCTTCTCTCTGTGCCACTGAAAATATTACTGATTGGGCTAAACTGTTTTTTTTTTCTTTTTGAAGTAGATAATGGAGACAGAAGTCCATTCTGCATTTATAGTTTGCTTTCCAAAGGAAGTTGAGCTCACATGATCTTTTTCTTGTGTCAGTTTGTACTTTTTCATCTGTTGGGTAACTTCAGATATATTGAACTGTAAAGGTAGAGATCTCAGAAGTGCTGCATGCCTGCAAACTGCTGTCTGGCTACTCTTCTTCTGTGAAACACTCAAATAAGCTCCTCCACCAAGGGAAAGGCTGCAAGGCTCACCTGCAGTATGAGACAGCTGAGAACCCACCTTGCAGACAGTTTCTGTCTGCTGCTGAAGAGAGCAGCGTGAATCTGTTGGTTTTGAGTTGTGCTAAATGCTATTTTACCTTCCCAGATGTATCTTAGCAGCTTTTATTCATTCTTAGCAATTTTTTTCCCAATGAATTTTAAGGCATTTCTGGTCTTTATGGCAATATAATAAAACTTTAATCAGTTACAGTCTGCAAAAGTTTCTTTATATGAGTTTAATAGGCTCATTTATTTAAAATATGGTGAGAAGGTACTCAGCACATTAATTACCTTCAGTAACTGTCATGTAATAACTGCCTGGGTTTTATTAGTTCATAATACCGGCCTTTCTATCATAATCTGACATTATTGATTTCCTACCTAAAATGATTAAAAACAAATGCTTCTTTGCTCTCCGTTCTCCCATTCTAGAATTTCAGATACTCTCCACATTTTCTTTCAGCTTCAGCAGTGCGTGTGGAAAGTGCAGTTTGTAAGGAAGCAAAATTGCTTGTTGCGTATCACAGAGTCATAGAATGGTTTGGACTGAAAGGGACCTTTTATTTCCAGATAATCTTGGAGTAGTAAATTAGATTCAGAGTAAAAACAAAAATCAGATTCTTCTTTGTGAGATGTTGTAGCTCCCAGACAAAGGGCAAATTAGATCCAGAGGAAAAGAGAGATCAGGCTCTTTACCTAGATGTCACTCCTAGGGTGGAAGGGTTTGCTGGGTCTGTATGCGTACATTTTAGTCATGAAATTTTGAGCTAAGAAGAGCCTAAGCAAGAAAAGTCCAGACGTCTTTGTACCCAAGTTAGAGTCATTCAGACTTCTCTATCTATGCAATGCATCTTTGCTGCAGGAAAAAACAGCTGTTTTTTCTATTTTGCTGAGAAGATGTTTTATGTTTTGTGCAGGCAAAGTTTCCCTGGCTCTTCTCCTGCAGCTCATACCATTGATGTGGCAGTAAAGCATGCGACAGCCCTGCTTGTTGTGCTGCTGGCAGGAGCTTCACAAACTCAACATCCTCCTGGGAGCAAGTGGGATGCTGGGCACTGCAGTGAGAAGATAAAGCAGCAAAATGGCTCTGAGGGGCCCAGCAAGGAGCTCCCACAGCAACAGCTGGATAAGAAATGTTCCTTCTGCTCAGGTGCTGGGCACACAGATAGGTGGAGCCAAGCTGGTGGTGGTGCTGCTGTGGGGCTGGCTTCCCACCTTGAAAGCGGATGTGCAGAAAGGTGAAGGCATCGTCTTAAAGAAGTCTTTGAGTGCTCCAAAGGTGGCCCAAGCCAATAACTGTCCTACTTGCCGTTGTGAGACCAGGTATGCTAAATGTGACTCAGTTACGCTTGTCAGATGGTGTGTGGTTCAATATGGCAGATCAGAGAAGGGGACGGATGGTGCCAATAAAATAGTATTTGCTGCATGAGGTAGCAACACTGACTTGGACGTATGGATCAGATTTAATACTCAATCTTTCATTTTTCTCCTCCCTTGGCAGTATTGCTTCTAACCATA